CGAGCGACTGAAGGATACGTTAGAGTCAAAAACAAGCAGCGTATCGTAGGTTTGTTCTTTCGATCTCTCATTCCTTCATTCGATCGTCTAGGTTTTTCATCTCTTTCTTATGTTAGATTTTTGTCACAGAATCGATTCGAACAAGTTGAAGCGTAAGGAGATTTAGAAATTTGTGAATGCTAAATTGGAGATTTCGGTTTTTTCCTATGTTAGGGTTTTCTTGATGGATGATCTTGCTTTCTGTTTGGCTATTAGATGTAAACAGAGATATGAAACCTGTTCATGCATTTCTTCAAAGGATCTCGGAGGAATTCTTGTTAAGTTTTTAAAGCGTTCAACAATTTAGTTTTCTAGTTGTGTACTATGAAATTGCAATCTAGGTTTTCTTGTGCCTTTTATTTGCGTTCAGGATTTTTTCCTATTGATATATTATACAGATCTAGTGAAATTTGAATTTTATAATCTCAAGTTTCTTTCCTGGGTGAGGTTTGGATTTGGAACGATCCTTGATACTAGAATCCAAAGAAAAGAGATGTGAAGATTAGGTTAGTAGAAACAAGTTTGCTTACTGATTCTTTTTATTTGATTGTCTGTTGGGTCTGTTGAAGCAGTTGCAATTGTCTTTTCCATGATCTTAAGGAGATATAAATGGCATCACTATCACAATGACACTCTGTAGCCTCTGCAATGTTACTATTTTTTTTATCAGAAAAATAGAATTTTCATTCATTCGAGAGTATTTGGGGTACTCCAAATAGCCATTGTGTTTTTTGATTGAGTTTTTAGTCCTCTTTTTGCCTTACCATCTTTTTGTTTTTATAGTTCATAGTCAGTTTGATTCACTAATGAATGTCTACTCAGTAGGTCAAAAAGTTTGAGGAATCACCACTGATAAATCCTTGTCTAGACAATGAACTGGACCTCTGGGGGAACGTATGAAGTTCAGGATTTATGTGATGAAGGTAATTAGTTAGAGTAAATATGCAGAAGTAACCTCTATTTCATAATAAAAACAAAGAAATTCATATTTTCATTCGCACAGTATTGTGAAAATTTTGTTGAAATTCTATGGGCCTCTTCATGATATAAGAGAAATTGTTAACATTTGACTTTGTTCTGTGAATTTTTGCCTGCTGGCCAGTGATGGTTTGTGGATTAGCTATGGCATTTTGTGATAGGAAACAAAGCTGAAGTTGTTTCTGCAGAATGTTGGAGTCACAATTGTGGCTTTTAATATCTGGAGGTTTTCTTGGAGAAAAATCTAGAAAGAAGTCACACAAAATTATTAAAGCTCATAATTTTATGGAGAAAACATTTGCTTTTTTTGAAGATGACCGGGAGAAGCGGTAAAAACTTGTTCAAGTATGTGTCTTTGCTTTTCAAATACATTTTAAGCAGCTCTTAGGGATTATATATGCATATCAATGAGGATAATCTTGCTTTAAAATTTCATAAACATTCTGAAAATGA